CCCTATCCCCTGTCGTGCCTTTGACTCCCACGACTATGAAAGCTAAGACGATGACAGCCAAAACCATCTGTACAGGAGCTTAAGTATCAATTAAGTCAAAACACCATGTTGCTTGTCTACAGGGACAATTTGTTTCTTTTTTTCTCTTCTTTTTTTGAAGTTACCTCCTAAGATTTAGGTGCCAATCATTGTTCTCCGACATCAAAGTAATAACCAGCAAAACCTGATACAGAACTACATGAGCACTTCAAGGTCAGTTGTTGAATGTTTTTGTGCCTTCAAAGCTCATTGGAATCAAGCAATTATGGAGCATCATTATTTTCAAATATCTGGGAAGAGAGAAGACTGAGAAAGGCTGTTCTGTCTCTTGCCTTCAACGAGCTCCATACCCCCATGAATAAATCTAAAAGCATAGGCCATCGCAACCCGCTCACCATAAAGGCCTAAAAGGAATCTTTTGCCAAATCTTTTGCCTCCACATAGTGTACTCCCGAACATTTTCTCTCCAATTAAATATTATGTTCTCCAATAGTTCAGCCCAAGGGACCAGAGAAGCATGGATTCAAAGCCTTGGAAACCATGAGCTCTGCCCAACTTTACCAAATAAGCCCCCCATCACACTGAGACAACGGGACTCTGTTCTCAACTATTGGAATGAGGTACAATCAAAGGGTTCACTCCAAATTTGCATTCAATTAGTAGACTATCAGACGTTTAAAAGGCAGCTGCCAAAGATTATAAGAGTCTTAAACAAATCCAAACTGCACCCATGCCAATCAATAATTATATGATAAAGGCACAAAGCATACCCTAAATGACGAGAATCCATTGTTTCTCACTGGTAAGTAGAAGCATAAGCCCATTTAATTTTCAGATATCAAATCATTGTATGGCCTTCCAGCAAATTTGATGACTATACATATGTTTATGTTGATCACAGAATTTAAATTTTGCAACAAAATTGTGAATTAGATCAGACACAAAGAGCTTTCTCATAAAATCAGACACAAAGAGCTTTAAATTACGGCTGTCCTAAAGATTCCAATATCACAACAAAATCAGTCTTCAATCTTATTCTAACATCCAAAAAACATAAATCATGTACACCACTTGGATCAATGATTAAGTGCACTCAAACTATGCATAAAAATCAGTCTAAAAAGGAGTATGGAGCAGGAGAAGTGCATAACTAAGAGACCATCCAATTAAGGTCATCAAAGAAAGTAGAAAGGAATTGCACACAACCTAAAAATTCAAATTGCCATGTCTAACCTGTAAGGGCATGCTTTCAGCTCTCGAACGACTTGTTTCAACTGGCTATGAGTGCGTGAAGTATATATAATGGTAGGAAGCTTTGGCCTACCAGAAGCAGAACCCTCCACTTCATCCTCCACATTTTCTGCAGAAGATTTTAAGCTTTGTCTCCATGCCAAGGTAGCACAGAGCAAACACAGGGTTTTGCCCGTTCCAGTGGGACTTTCCAGTACAGCATTGGATCCCTGGCAACAACATTGACGAAACCATTGGAAAACAAATAGTTCATTCCACCAATTTATCCAATATTATGACCATTTCAATGTTTAGAACCTTTTTCTTATACTTTCATTTTATTTTCCTTTTGTATGTTATGAGTATTCCTGCAAGCATATCAGAATCCTGTTGAAAAGTTCCAAGGTCTCAAATTTTACACTTCTTCTTTCAGTGTTAACTTGTGTGGTCTCAAATTTTACACCTTCCGATGAGAAAATCAATGCATGTATTACTATTCTTAATTGGCAAGCACATTTAGAAGGTGTTCAGGTGGAAACTCAATTCATCCATTACAGGCAACATAAAACAACAAAAACATTTAGTAATAAAAAATAAGGATTGGGTTGTGAAAACATTTGCATATAAGAGGGGATTTTAAGACAAAATTCAAGTCCATAGAGGAAATTAAATTGTAATACAAATCATAAAAAAATTGAAATAAGCTAGCAAAAGAAAATACAAGAGATCCCCTATATTCCTTTGGTTGGAGACAGACATTACATATGTTCAAGGGAGAAATATATATTTATGGACCCGGTTTCTATGCGGCCAAGCCCGCATATGTAGGAATGCGGGCCTATTAATAAATCTATTTTTGAGATGGATTTTTAGCTTAATTTTAAGGACATGTAATCTCTAACATGGAGATCATGAATATGAAAAAATAAGTAAATTTTAAAAATTAGAAATAATAATTCTAGTAAGAAAACATTTGGAGTGTTACTTTCCATTGTTTTTAGATGGAACACCTACTTGCATCCATCTTTAAGATGGATGCTCTACATTTTTTGGACCGCATATGTAGTCATGCTGTCCAGCCCGCATGAAACAATTTTCCTATATTTAAACGTTTCCAGAAAATATTTCATCGAATTCACCACTTAGTTTGACTAATTTAATGTCAAACACAGTTCACAAGGGCCAAAAATGTGCCATCTTTAATACTTGAATCAGCTTAATTCTAACCAAAACAAGGTAAACAATTTATGCTGCTTTTTTTTTCTTTCATTTTTGAGCAAGAGAAAATAAAACTTGAAGCTCCAAGTTCAAATGAAGAGAAAATAATGCAAAAAGTATATAAATTCATATTGATATACAAAGTTGAAAAAGAATACCTCCTGTAAACAGTGAATAACACTATCCATGTAGGCAATCTGGCAATCATAAGCTTTATATGGGAATTTAACATTGATACCCCTTATCTTGTAGGTATGCATCGCTATAAAAAAGTAAATCTCAATAGTGGTTCAAAAAATCTCCAAACTTTCAGAGTCTCTATGGTCTATTTCTGCATTTGAATGCCTGATAGAGAACTAAAATGGAATATTATTAAACTAGCTTCATCTTCAGAAATCACGTTCCACAATCTTCCATTTCAATCCACGGAAGAGTAGGGAAGAAAACCCTGATTCTTCATTTCAGTGGAAAAATACTGAATCTCCGTCTGAATTAATAGAAAGAGTCATTCTCCGTTTGAAGGGGAAAACCACAAGGAAGAAACCGAATTCTCCATTTTAAGGGGAATACCCTGGTTCTCAATTCATGGAAAAACCCTGGAACACTGTTTGAAGGGAGAAAACTCTAATTCGCCATCTGAAGGGAAAAAGACATTATTCTATTAGAGGGAAAACCGTATTTCCCCATGCCAATGAGGAGAAAAACGCAGTAAAAAGCACTAATGTGGAAAGCTCTTATAGGAAGCCACTAAGGATTTTTCCCGCCATGAGAGCATTTTGGTAATCTACGAGCGTGTATAACATGCTCCCATAGGAGCATATTGTACACTAACTCTCTCCGGTAAAAGAGATATTTTGGAAGATATTTTTTATTATTGGAAAATTTTAAATAAGGTTGCAACTTTAAAATATAGAATTAAAGATGTATCTCAAAAATCTATCATTAAAGGTCATTGGGATGTTGGAAAACCCTCTAATTGTCTTCAAGATATATGAATATGAAAAGAAAAAAAAATTTCTTGAGTCTTTCGAGTAGAGCAGCTTCCAATACATTATTTGGACCATTTATTTCCAATTTTTTCATGTATTTATAATCTACTTGATTTGAACTATTTTTAAAATTTAAAATTTTATAAGTAGAGATGAAAATAGATTCTCAAGCCATCCTACGAACTTTTAATATCAAAATTATATTTATAATAAAATTTAGAAGTGCCCTTTAATTAGATTGTTTAATATTGCAATCTTATACAAACCACACCCTCTTTTATTTGAGTTCCTCGTATGCAACTAAGAACAACTATAGCATTATTTTCAAAGAAATAGAGATGAATTTGAATTATTTGATACCCAGATCTTGCCCTCCAAATATTGGATGTTCCTTGTTCATCCTTGTTTTTTTTTATCAAAGACATATGATTTGAAAATACATCCCCAAAAATTGCGGTCCTAAAGGTGTACCTAATTTGAGATTTACTTGAGGAGCATCTTGTAGTAAGTTTAATGAACTATCTATTTTCAAATTTTTAAAATGTTTATAGATCTACTTGACTTGAACTATTTTTAAAATTTTAAATTTTTTAATTAAGATTGAATATAGATTTTAAAGCGATTGTCATGTTTTTTTACACCATAACTACATCTTTTAGTAAAATTAGGTGCACATTACTTTGTATCGTATAAGGTGTTGCACCTTATATATTTTACATAAAGTTGGTGTTTATACCAAGTCTCAACCTAAAATAATCAAAGTAAAGTGCACCTCTAAATATTGCAACAATGGTGGGGTTTTGGTTGCGGAACTCTTGGGATCACTTCAAAATCTGTTTCACAGTATTGTTATCTTTGCTTCGCTTCGGACAAAGCAGCTGAATTCTTCGGGTTTTTTGCCTAGACAGAAATAAAGCAAAGCATAGTATAAACTCTTCAATCCGATTAAACGTGCTTATGCGAGATTAGGCAAATTCAACCGAATAAGTGAGTTTTAATTATTGTTATAAGGGCATTAAACAATGACATTTCAGATGTTTTCGTAATTTCAAATTAAAAAATTATAGCCATTTTATTTTGAACAAAAAGTGAAACAATGAAGGACAAGGTTTCTACGAGTCCCCAGACTCATATGTAGAAATGTCTCCCCTTAATGGTACATTTTTAAAATAATTGTTTGCCCTGATTTTTAAGGAATATACAATCCTTAATATGGAGATCGTTAACATGTTAAAAAATTAAAAACTAAAAATGATATTTTTTTTAAATAAAATATTTGAACCGTTGATTTTTCTTTTCTCTTGGAGGGACTATCACTTGCATCCGTTGGAAAGCTAATGCCGGGTGGGATGCGTCTTTTATGCATAAACTACTACTCCAAAAGTAAAAGGGGGTGTTACAATTTATTTTTGGGTGAGGTTTGTATAAGGTTAAGGTTGGAGTAAGGTGTAACTCAAAACTATGTCGAAAATGCAGTTTCAATACCGCAAAGCTTTGCAATGATATGAAAATCTATTGTTTTTCAATTATGAAATTTAAAATTCTAAAAAAAGTGACAATCAAACAAATCTATAAACATTTGAAAATCTTAAAAATGGATGGTTCAAATAATGTGTTAAAAGATGAGCTATTTGTAATACTAACAATGCCTTTTTTTTCATGTCTATGAATCTCGAGGTACAGATGACCGATTTGAGGTTTTTCAGCGCAAAAACTATTTAATAGTTCCACCCCTTCTCCTACTCTCCATCTTCCTCCTTCCCGTTCTACGTCCTTTTCTTCCGTTCTAATCTTTCCTGTTACACACTACTATGGTCCTCCTAAGTACAAAAACCTAATCCAAAAAGCTCAAAGCCTTTGGATTATATGTATAATAAATATATATTTATTTTTAAAAAAATTAAAATTAATATATTCAAAAAGGATTTTAAACTTTTTTTTTAACTTTTTTAGATTTTCAATATATAATATATTTTAAAAAATTTAGAAATATTAAAAGTCTTCATCCGAAAAAGTCGAAGGACCAAAGCGCTTCTTTTTTCCAACCAAACCAAAAAGGATCCAAGGCAAATTTGATAATCTTTTCACCTCTAATTATGAAATTGAAGCTCAAAAAATTATGTAAATCAAGCATATATTTATAGGCACTAGAAAATTTTGAAAATGTATGATCTAAATAATATTTTACAAGACGTACAATGTTTAGGACTTGAATCCTTTTTCTTTTTTTTTTCTTTTTTATATCCATCCATCTGTAAACAACCATTTCGGATAGATATTTGAGGTGCACCTTTCTACAATATAAAGTTCACACCTAACATAAACTTTTTTCATGTAAACCTTCAATAATCAAAGTAAGGTGCACCTCTAAATCTTGCTAATACAGTCAGTGCCAAAAACTTTTTACAATAACCTAAAATATATTTCTACTCAAAAAATGATGCAAGATCAAACAAATCTATAAACACTTTGAAATTTTTGAAGATGGCCGGCCTAGATACATTACAAAAAGAAAAAATTTTTTTTTTTTTCATATTCATAAATCTTAAGGCCAAGATAATCAAATTGGATAGCTTTTTAACATTAGAACAATCTTTTCAAGTGGATTTTTAAGATGCACTTTAACCTTTGACCATTGGACGTAAAATTGGATGGTTACAATTATTCTCTTGACCGAACTCAAACTTCAAAAAAAAAACTTTCAAAATTTGTGACACACCCAAACTTATCAAATTTCACATCGAATGGTTATAAGTAATTGTGACCTCCTTGTATCAAATCAAAAGTATATGGTTTCATTTTATACAATCCCCGTTCTTATAATATAGAGTTGACACCCCATGTAAACTTTTTCCATACTCAAATGGTCACTTTTCAAACATGCATTTCATCTATTAAAGAACATAAAGACTACCAACAATGGTATGAAAACCCTTAAATATATTAATTTCCTTCAAACATCAAATAAGATATATTTATAACGTTATACTTACTGAATTAGTGTTACACTTCAAGATCAAACAGATCAAAATTTTGGTGCCAAAACATTATAAGCATATAGTAAGAACTTCATAAGACGCCTGTTTCTTGAGGATAAGTAAACTTGTGCCAAAACTACTGCGAAGAGCCTTTCTTGTTGATACAACAAATAACAAAAAAATCCCATTTCCGCTTCAACTCCATTAAATCCATCTTCCTTCACTAAACACCTCTACAACCCATCTTCTGCTGCTACCCAGAGTTGAAGAGAGAAATTGGGTCAAAAAAATAAATAACCCAAAATTCAATTTCCAGTCATCCTTCACCTATCAAATCCACACCCCCACTTCTATTGCCCAGAGAGAGATGGGTTCTTGTAGCTACCAAAATTCAGCCAAAACAAGCAACCCAAAAGTCAGACTTCAGCTATTGAAGCCTCTTCATTCAGATCAATATCAAGCCTACCTTTTCTCTTTTCCAATACTCTCTCCACAACTGCTTGTGGGTTCTCATTCTCAGCATCAGAAACACAATAGATGGTGTTTTCCATCTTAGGAACTGGCCTAGACATCAGTCTCTTCTTTGCACCCCTATTTTCTCTTTCTATGATAGATATATCCTTATTATTTTCCATAATTAAGGCTGAAGTATTTCCAAGGTCGGTCACATGAGCCATACCTCTTTTGCTTCGGCGCAACCCATGATTATCCGTCATGTTAGCAGGCATTTTATTATCACAATCGTCTTCATTTTCCCCATCTGTCTCAATATCATGTTCCTCATCTGTTTCAATATCAGTATCCTCTTCACCAACATATTCATCATCATCGTCGTCATCCTTATCATAACCATGGTCATCAACATGAGTTTTGTCTGGTGAGCTTGCTTGGTCCTCCAGTTTTGGGTGGTTGCCATTTTCATGAATATAATTCAGGGCCGAGCTTTCATAAGACTCTGAAATCCCTTGTGGTAGTGTGTCCTTGCCATTGGCAAGGAGTTCCCGGTGCTTCCCTTCATCTTTGCTCTCTTGGGTCGTCTTCCCTTTCCTGAAATAGTCAAATTGAAGTAAGGATTTCAACCAGCGTAGGGAATTTCATCTCTCTCTCTCTCTGACTTACTTCGTTATCTCTATGGCTTCATCGATTGACCGATCGTATTCATCTGTAAAAAATAGAAAATCCAAGAACCAAGAGTAAAACCAAGCAAAAAGCCAAGAATCAGACTTTCTTTGTAAGAATATATATGTGGCTTTTGCAACTGAATCATAAAACCAATGAGCTACAAAAAGATGGAAGCATCAAGCATAGCAGCAACCAAAGATGCAGACGAGAGGATAAAATAAAATAAAAATTCAAGTGGCATTAAAGCCTAAAACAAAGCACGAATACACAGTTTGTTGGAACAAAAATGATAATAAAAAAGAAAAACCGCAGAATATGTTTCACTTGCATGTTAAAATATAGCCCATCATCTGATATTAGTACTAAGGGTGACAAATAGATTTTGAAACAGATAACTACTTCAGGAGTCAGGTCAATGGAGACCAACAAAGCTATTTAATATGGGATAGGCCAGCATAATCCAACCCCATCGAAATTTAGAGACCCATGGCCCACTATGGTCATCACCTTCTGATGAAATAATGGGAAGTGATGGAGAAGAGTGGGAACGACTAGAAAGGGACATGACCTCAGTGGTGGGTCCACTATCTATCCATCATTTCATTGGAAAAAAATGACCCCAAAAGTACTTTGATATCCCATGATCCCATTACAAAAATATTATTTTCCCATTAAGTTTGTGTGCTAGAAGTACATCAAGCACAAAAGCAAAAATGAAGAAAAATGAATCACTGAGAATGGAAAGCTTACCAAATGTGTATTTGACAGGTTTGCGGTCACGGAGTGAACGAGCATTATCAGTACCATTAGAATACAGAAAACTATCCAGAAGTGTTGCTTGCTTCTGCTGTCGTCTTAGTGCTCGTTCTTTTTTCTGCAACAAGATGACAGGATTAGCACAGAACAGACAGATCACATTAGTAGAAAAAGAAAATGCCTTTTATAATCCAACAGAATGAACTATTAACAATTAATTAGAATGTGATTTTTCCAACTATGGGTTTTTTTATTTTGAGAGAGAAGGTTAACTATTTCCCCAATGATGGTTTTTCTAGTCCATACAATTATACTACACTAAACATGGATCTCACAAGCAGTATATATAAGCCCATCACAGTCAAGAAATAACATATCCATAAGATATGTAGCTGAGATGAAGATGTTGAGATGGATGAGTGGTAAGACAAGAAGGGGTAGAATTCGAAATAAATACATAAGACGGAACTTAGGGGTGGCTCCAATAAGCGATAAGATAAGGGAAAGCAGACTTAAGTGGACTGGCCATGTGTATCCTAGACCTAATACAACACCAGTTAGGAGGGGCGATTTGGTTCAACCTTTCAAGTAGAAAGCTCTAAAAAGCAATGGGAAGGCCCAAAAGAACATAGATGGAAGTTGTGAGAAGAGATATGATAACTTATAATCTGATTGATTATATGACCCTTGATAGAGTGGGATCACAGAACAGGATTCATGCTGCCCACTCCAAATAGCATGGTTAGGACTCAGATGATGACAACAATGATGAACCCTTCAAATTAACTCAAGAAAGTATAGGCTTACAAAATGTTCATAGTACCAAAAACTATCATCATCCTCCAAGCTTTATCCCAATTACTTGGGGTTGGCTTACATGAAACATGTTCCTCCATTCTTCTCTATCAAGGGCATAGATTCAAAATTCATGGTAAGATATGGCAAAGTTTTATACTAATTGCCTACTTAATGCAAACCACCTCTTTTACCCAGACTTGGATAGGTTAAGGGGAAAGTTTAAGGTCCTCTCTTATTAGACCAATTACCAAAAACACATAGTTTATCTCATGAAATGGCAAAGTTTACGTTGGCTGCCTACCTAACAAACCACCTCCTTTACCCGGGCTTGGGATGGGTCTAGGGAAAGTTTAAGATCCTCACCCTTCCTAGACCAGTTAATATAAATAAATATATACTTATGAAAAACTGAAAAGAAATGATTAAGAAAAGAAACACCAAATCTAAAGCCAAAAAGAAAAACCACTCACAAAGAGAGGCAGTATTAAAATCTGAGAGAAGAATAGAAATGGTCAAAAGTCGGACCTTTTGATGAGAAAAGGATGTCTTGGGTAGTCCAGAAAAGGATGCAAAAGATGATAAGAGGACACCCTAGGTTAAGTTTAAAGATTTCCTTTTTTGAGGTTGAAAGTTTTAGAGAAATATTTCACCTATTTGGATATTTTGTATAATTTAGACATGAAAGAACAATTGTAAAAGCATAAACTGAGCTACATTGCATACGGAGCACTACAGTCACACTGGAAAAAAAAATTAGATATTTAGATTGAATTTTCAAAAAAATAGAATGTTTTAGCAACTCCAAAGAAGAATGAATAATATGATAATAATGTAGGACAAAATATAAAGCTCTAGACAAGTATTTGGCATAATCAAAATATTGGGTATGTTTAAAGCAGATCGGGAAGGGGAAGAAAGGGACAGTTTTAGAACTGAATGAGGAAAGGAAGAAAGAAATCAGTAAGAGAAATGAATGCAGCTCCCAACAACGATATAGCACAGTAAATAACATTAATTTTGAAGCTTATGATAATTAAAGACCAACATGTGAGCAAAACCTACATAAATCCACAAAAGGAGAAGTTAATACAACACAATGGACTGTGGAAAACCACAGAGACTCTTTGGTAATCACCACCAGTAGAAAGAATGGATGGTGATGGAAAGTGAGACCCACATCTGGGATTCATGGCCTATTTGGTGATTACACTCTCTTTCAATTATTGTCCAGCATTTTGGTAGCTGGTGATGACTTAGTAGACTTTTTTTCACACTGCATTCTATTACTTTATATTTTTCCCATCTACAAAACTCATCTTACTTATTAAATTCCATAAAGCAAATACTCAAAGAAATTGACCTTATTAAGTTCTTCAATAACGGGAATAATATCTACTTTCACTTTTTTTCCAACATCAACCTCCATGATGTTCCTGCTAGAAGAAAGTTTATCCTGCCATACAAAAGATTCCACAGGTTAGTTATGTCATACATCATAACAAAGGGAAGATATTCAACGAGATTGTTTACCATTGGTACAAATAGGTGTAAGTACCCTATGCTATCAGACGTGAAATTTGATGGCAGGGGTTTTATCACTAACCCTGCTCAGCATCCAAGAAATTTTTTTCTCAGACTTTGTGAATGTCAGATTCCACATCTGATGGCTCAGGATTTTTTTGCCTTTTCGTAAAAAGGGTAAACAATCTCATTGTATATGATCCTTATAAGAAAGGTTAGTTATGGCACATACAGCAAGGAATTAATCGCGCATGAATGAGCACTTACTGATATATCAAGAAACTCATCAAGATTAGTGGCAAGTGTTTCCCATTGGATATTAAACATAGGCTGCACGAATCGGCCCCTCCCCTTTGCTTTTGGCCTGGGTTCAACATTACTGACTTCCTTATACAACCGATGCCCAATTTTTGAATCACCATCATACCTAAGATTTGTCATAGAAATCAACATTCATTTTACGCACCATGATGTTATTGAAAGAGTAACCCCTAGTTTGCCTGCAACTTACATTCTCATCAATGTATTATGCTTCCAATTTTAAGAAAATGCTGCCAAAGTGGGATGAAAACTGGTCTTTTCAGTTTTCATTTCACTGAGTGGCAATCTTTGAGTCTGTGGTTACCTACTTGGGGTCTTAAAGGGGCACCCAAAGGTGCCACGGAACCACATATGGGCCCTCACCTAAAATGTTGCCCCAGCAGCACCAAACCACGAGGCCTAAATGTCAGAGAGTAAATTGACAAATCAGAGAAGTATAATATTATCCATTGAACCATGGGAATAAAGATAGTCCACAGGTCAAGGCCATCCACTGAAATGTTCTATTGAGAGAAAGTGGGATGCACCAGAACAAATTCATGGCCCCAATGGTGGGTCCCTCTCCCCAACACATCCATTGGTCGGCCCACTCTTTCAACGGTCCATCATTTCGGTGACCATTTATTAAAGTACACTTTTGCATCACACATTTGACAGAGCAAAGAAAGTAGGGAAAGAATCCTCTAGTCCAATGGATCACAGTGTAACACTACACAAAAGGGGAAACCAACACCCATTCCCAATGATGGAATGTGGAGTTCGATTATAAGTGCTTGGATATCCCAATGGGTTCCACTATGGCTAATATATATTGCTCGACATTAGGAACATATAGTACATGCCCCTTTGGAGTACTGCATACCGTACATGATGCCGTACAGTACACTCTCCCTAAGCAATATAGGCAAGTGGAAACCCAATGTCAATCATAAAAAACACAGAAGGCAATTCAAACAGAAAGTCAAATTTTACCAGTAAGTAGTTCCATCATTATCTCTACCTAAACTATCCATGCGGAAAGTTGAGAGATCATTTCCCTGCTTCAAAGCATCTTCAATAAACCTCCACGTGTCATCTTGCTGGCAGCAGATGAATAAAACCAGCATTAGAACAAAGGAATCTTCATAGTTATCCAAAAACAAAGTTAGCAATTTCAAGTGAACGAGTACAACTAAAAGATAATGCAACGACTTCGAGACTGCAAATAACACAACTTAATATTGATGACATTACATAGAGCATCCAAATGGAAGCCCCTAAGATTAGAGAAACAAACATTTCAACAAATAAAAGATTAGAGAAATGAGCAAATTTGCCTGATTATACACATTCAACTCTAGGAAATTTACAGTTATACAATAAACCTTTGTAATCCCTACATCCCCACACATATAAACCTTGCCCCTAAACTAACAGAGGAGGTCATCTGACTTCCTCCACACACAACAAATGGGGCAGTGGGGATCGCAAAAATGACTACCCCCTCCCACCCCCACCACAAAAACAAAAAACAATTCTCTCTCCCACACACATACACATGCATACACATGATGGACACATGCAAAAGATTATGACACGAGAAAATGTAAATATACCGTTGTTTCAACATATATTGCAGCAATTCTTATTTCCATATCTAATGATACTAGTTTAACTTTGTGAAACTAATGCTGGTCTTTGACTTTCAAAACCAGAGACAATTCTGAAGCCAACAGAGCCCGCCAACCTGTCTAAAAGAATGAAAAGCAAAAGGCATCCCGCCAAAAGAGAGAGAGAGAGAGAGACAGACAGACAGACAGACAGAGACAGAGACAGAGAGAATGAGAGAAGCCAGTTTACTTCTAATCGGATTTCACAAAGTGCTTTCAGCATTAGCAAACGGGTGGTTGCGTCAAGCTCATTGTACCTCAAAATCTCCTCTCTGCACATGCAATTTAGAAAAAGAAATTACCACCGATACCATGAATCAGTAACAAGAAAGGGAGCAAAAGAAAAATATAAAACTTGCTAGAAGCACTAACCCATGATATGCAACAAGTGGAACATCCCCTTCAGCCACCTGAGTTCAAGAGTAGAATCAGCAAGTAGTCCCTCATCTACAATCAAGGGGCAATGAACTACTACTGTAATTTTGGGAAGTACAGTACGAAAAATCATGGTCATGGACCATCATCGAATGAAACGATGGATGGTGATGGAGAAAGGGGGGGAGGCAACCATTGGGACCATACCTGTTCTCAAGGTTCCACACACTCCATCACCAGCCATAATTTTCATGGGACGGTGATGACATCGATGGGCTCTTTTTTTCATAGTCCGTTGGACTAAACTGTAGTAAATCTGATTTTACAGTAATTTAGTTTAACCTACCCATGGCCACCATTCAACAAGTTTCTTACAAAGTGCTGTCAGCCAAAAGTTAGATTCACCCAAACTTTTGCTTACTGGAGGTATCCCCTGAAAATAGAACCGCAAATAGTAGGTCAAATACTAATCCCCTTGTTCCTGTCAAGAAATTTAAAGAGAAAAAGAAAGGATGCAGATGAAAAGACAAATAATAAATGACAAGAAAAGCATGAAATTGGCATTCTAAGCATTTTCCATTGTAAGAAATGAAGAATTTAATCAAGAAAAAAAAACATTCTCAAAATTTACACTATATTTTCCAGATAGGTTGCATGCTCGGAATTTTAGTTATAGCCTGTTTAATAACAAGCACCAGCCACAAGGAACCACACAGGAGACAGATGAAATACTACAGTAGAAAAATGATTATACGCTTAGCACAAATCAAGTTGACCCAAGCCCAAAATACAAATAATGCGTGACTTTTGGGACCACACAAGTCAAATCCTATGGTTCAACAAGTTCTAAGACACTGCTTCTTTTATAACCTTCAAAAATCAGAAAGCGCCATTAAAATTGCCCCTCTCCATTGGTTTCTTTCGAAGAGTATACCATTTGTTGGAAATTAGTGAGCAAAATGGGGCAGAAAATTAGTGATTTCACAAAAACTTTGAAGGACTAACAAGAGGAAAAACAACTTCATGTTTCCAAGCACAAAAACGTCACTATCACAAGACAATGTGACCTTACTGATAAAAATGTCTATATCTAGATTCTCTAGGCAAATTTGTCCTCAGGATACAAGGAAACAAAAGATTGATCACTATTTTGTCTGCACAAATGCATAAGTGCAGCAAGATCTAGAGCATTAGAGTTGCCTCTTGTCCAGGAAAATGAAAGTTCAAACAAGATAGATCTGAAAAATGTGTGCAAACATATTCAAAACTAGCATTTCAAAAATGAAGTTTGAGTCCCACATATAGAGAGAGAAAGTGCCCCTCACCTTCACCCAATGTATTATTCAATGCACTTGAAAGTCGAAGAGTTGTGACTCTTTGATTCTCAACTTTAAGTCATAAACGGCCCACCAGTTACAACTTACACACAAGTGGATCTCAATAGTTATGGCTTTTTATAGCGGCTTTAAAAGTGAATCCTTGCATTCCAAAATTGCAGCCATAATGTTCATTCCAGTGGAAGCAATTCTAAAACACTTATCTGCGCATCCAAACAGCACATAACACACTAGTAGGAGTTCCCACCATGATAAATTACCAAAATGCCCCTGCACATTAGGGCCATTTATTTGTGCTACCAAACAGCGTAGCACTCCACTGCAGCAAACTACCTAAATTGCCCCTCATCCAGCTGGATGACTTCCCTTCTCCTGGTTAGGTGTCTTGCGGAGTAAGAAGATACCCAACCCGCAAACATGCATGGGCTAAAGGAGCTCCTACAAGCACGCAAAGTACAAAGTGCTTAAAGCACCCTAGCACCTATGCAAACACGTGTGCATGAGCACACCGGATGTGCTCCATGTAAGCCTTCTCTCCTCTTGGTTCTTAGAATACAATGGAAGATGGTATTCTCATATTTAAACATGGGTTCCTCTTCTCCATTCTCCATTGTGGGACTAAAATGCGTTATTTCTCTCTCTACATAAATGCAAAGTTACACTTTTCGGAAACTAAGATTTTGGAAAAGATATTACTTCGAAATAACACCTAATACTTTTTCAAAGTATAAATACTAACATGATCACCATCAATGACGCACAAATTTCCCTTGTTGCTGTCATTGTAACAACCACACCACAGTTGCTATGTGCACCATCTGCTTGCCATGACTAGTTAAACAATAATCTTCAATTTCCGTCAATGCAATTGCAAGCTATCTAAATACTCCGAGGTTGCATCTTGTCTAAACAGGTTGAATTCCCCCATTCGGCTCTTTCAGTTCTAGTTGGCATACACCTACTTCTTCAACCTCTCAACAATTAGCTATTCCTATAGCCTTTCCCAAATGCACTCACCGACCTCGTAAAGTGCTTTCCACATAACCTCTCAAAAAATCTAGCCACCTGGCCAGTGTTCAAAAATTCAGATGAGAGCACTGAGGCAGGTGCCTAGAAACCTAAGCAGCCCACTTCCATTGAACCCGAAAAGCAAGGTGTTCCTAGGATAAACAAATAATAGGGCCAATAAAGCAACCCAACTATGTGATGAAAGTTAAATGCCATATGCCAGTATCGAAACATCAAGAGAAATCACCAAATAATCGAAAAGACGCAAAAAAATAGACAAATAATCATCGTATTAGCCCTATTCAATCCACTGATTATTTAAGGAGTAAAAGGACCAACAAATTGAAAAACAAAAAAAACAAAAAAACAATTGGTTTGATATTAACACTTTTTCGAAAGATCGGGTCTCCCTATCTTGAAAACATTTCAAAGGCTAAAACGAAAATTTACTCGAGCAAAACTTGTAAAAAATCACAAAATCAAGAACATAAGGGAAACATAAATAAATCAAAACCCATTTTACACAAAAATACCAACTAAAATTTCCAAAATCAAATCAAAACTCTCTCAAATCAATCACCTTGGGTTACCAAAAATCCACTTTTGCAACCACTCCCAGCTATATGATAGATTAACTTTTGATTTTGCAAGGAATCAAGAACATTGAACTTTTTCTTCCCGGTCTTGAGAAAATTTTCAGAAAAACAAATTTTTTGTTGTTGTTATGCTCTGTCAAGAAGTTGAATGCCCCCCAAAACCCTATTTCCCCCCTTTAGGAGGGAATCATTTTTTTCCTTGGCTGAGGGCCTCTTTCCGCCCTGGGCCAAGGGTATTAGGGCAATGCCTAGTAGCCTAGGCAACGCCTTCGGTGCCTAGGAACATGGCCGCTAGGCCTCTGGTAGGCATTTTTCTCGCCTGGCCGCCTAGGCTGCCACACAGCAGACGTTTCAAACAATGCAACTGGAGACAAAATCATTAAAGAGAACCAACTTTTAGTGAGAAACGACTTTCCCCATTCAAACTCACCAAAAGTTTATTTTTCTCACTCATTTCCATGTCCAACCATCTACCGCCTTGAGATCATAGATATACGTCTTTCCTACCCCAAAAATCCAAGGCAACAACTAAGAACCCACTTTCACTTTGAATGGTATTAATCAAACAATAAACAAATAAAAACAAAATGTAAACTCCTGGATGAGAACTACTAAACCTAAATTCTACAACTTGCCTCAAACGTTCTATGTTCGCAAACTACACAGCGAAGTAAATTGTCACCAGAAAACACGTCAAAATTCCACCCCCCATTGAAGCTCCAACTTAACCTTCCCCTTACCTAGAAGGCAACAAGCTAGCAAATGCCAACTGCAAAAACAAACCCCCTTTCATCTAGCCCACTTTTGCATGAACCGCTTTCAAAATTGGGCCAATGCATAACGTTAATTACCCTCCTAAATATTTAACTGTCCTCCTTTAGCAAACCCTCTTCCGTTCCACTTCTACAAAGCACGATCTATACCAATTTGGAAGGCTTATGTATATCTTCAACGTGTATCTGGCCATTGTATACATTGAACTATCCTCCTACATCCTTTCAATCCAAAATGCTTGGTGCATCTATTTTATCCAATGTTCAATCTACGAAGTAATTATTGAGATCTTCATATAAGTGTTTTGTTCAACCAACAATAAAGTGATAAACAAAGAAAACAACATGAATATCCAATTATATAATTTATGAGTACATAGTTTTATGATGTTTCTTATATTGGAAGTCGTGAAAGTTTGAACATATATATTAATATTTTGTGAAGTTGAAATGAAGCAAACAACTTTACTTTCCAAGTAGACGGGGAAAGCACGAGAAAACCAAATCCTAGTTCAGTATCCAATGTTCTAGCCTTCTAGGCTAAAAGTGCTCGTTACTACTTGTTGCCAACTAAACTAACACCACAAAAACATCAATGAATAAAAATGGCAAAAGGGTACCTCCTCAACATAACTGAAATAAAACATGTATACAAATATGGGATAAAATGGTACTGGAAAACAACAAAAGAAAAATGCTCAAATGCATAGAGAAAAATAAATAGCATACCTTCAAAAGAGCAATATGCAACTTTGCCAATGTATTATTCGGAGAAATGAGAGCTGTCTCAATCTCCTCAGCAGAAACCTCCAAATCACAATGAATAATTGGCTGAAAAACCTGAACCCAATTTGTAGAAGCATATTAATTCGAAATCGAACAATCAAATCATAAAACCACAACAATGATAACTGACAATGGTTGCAAAGAGCAATAAGCCATTTCAAAAATAAATAAATAAATCATAACAAATAAAAACCCCGAAATCAAAGAATCACTACAATGGTAACGAGACTTGCAGAGAGTGGTAATACATGCCTCAACAGACTCAAACAAAATAAAAGCACCCAAATCACAAAACCATAACATGGTACTGTTCACTGTGAATAACGATCAACTTCTCAAAATAAAAAATAAAAATAAAACAAGGAAAAGCACCCAAGCATAATCACAAAATGGCCCAAGTTGCAGAAAGAACTAACCCATTCCACAAAAACAAATTCAAACAACATATAAGCACCCAAACCACAAAACAAATTGCTGCAAAGACTAAAAACTCATTTCACTGTAAACAAACTATTAGTAAAAGGACCCATATCAAAAATGTTAACAATATTTGCAGAGGCAAATACTGGAGCAATAAAACTTACATGTAAGAAATTCAGAACAGATGCCAATTCCCATCGTCCTCTGAGACTTAGGCGTGCTGACTGTGAATCCACAGTGCTCGAAATCAAAGTTTCCAATGGAATTTCCTGCAACGATTCATCTTCTCCGAGAGTTGTGGTGCCATTAGGCCCTCTTCTCCCGCGCCTCTCCGCCATGCTCATAAATCAAAACTACGATCCTGTAATTCAAACGTTGTGTAAAGAAAATGAAAACAATTTTAGAGAGAAAGAGAGTGAAGCCAGAGATAAAAACCCATTTTACCATATGAACTTCAAGATTACCTATTAACAGAGGATGCCTGTAGAGAGAGTGCGAACAACTTGAAGAGAGAGAGAGAAGAGAGCAAGTGTGAAGAACTTGGAGAGAGAGAGAGTATCTAGCGAAAGCTCCCGCCTGAAATTTCATTTAACCGTGGTCAATTGCTGGTGTCATTATTTAGAGAGAGAAGGATGAAGCGCTTTAGAGAGAGAGATGAAAGTACATGACTCTGGGAGGAGAGAGAAACATACTTGAAAGAAGAAAGTGGAGCGACTGAATGCAAATGAAACGAGGGAAGAGAGAGGAGAGAATATCTCTAGAGAGAGGAGAGATAAAAAGGTCTAGAAAGAGGAGAGAGAATATCTCTAGAGAGATCAGAGAGAAAAGGAGTCTAGAGAGAGGAGAGAAAATATCTCTAGAGAGGAGAGAGAATATCTCTAGAGCGATGAGATGGAAAAAAGGGTTAGAGAGAGGAGAGAGAATGTCTAGAGAGAGAAAGTGGAGATAAATGTTTGGAGAGAGAAGAGAGAATGTCTAGAGAGATTTAGGGTCTAGGCCTAGAGTTTACAGGACCAAAAAGCTCCCGCCTTAATAACTCTCACTTAACCGTGGTTAATTCTCGATATGTATGGGCTGTTTACATTAGGTAATATGTTAACCCGGGAACAGTTACTTTAACCTGAGTTAGTTTTGCAGGACTTTCGTACGCATGTAATGGGGGAATTTTGACTCGAGAACTTGTGGTTAAAGGGAATGTAGTTCGTGCGTTAGGGGACGTACCTCCACAATGCGTCCGGGGATACAGTTTCTGTGAGCTCAGACTCATGCGTAGAAATGAGGCCCCCCTTAATAATCTATTTTTAAAATAAATTTTTTTTACCCTAATGGCCTAATATGATTCTTAATATAGGGATTAGTAATGCGTAAAAATAAATAAAAATAAAAAAGGTGAAATGGTATTTTCTGAACGAAAATATTTGAGCCATCGACTGTACCTTTTTTTGTCGAGGGACTGCTTTAGATGGTTTATAGCTCAGGGGATGCAGATGTAGGAATACGTCCCCCGAAGCAGGAACTGCTTTTCCGTTGAAAAATGCTTGTTCCGCCTTACTTGAAATTGAAGGGTGTTAATATTTTATCGAAAGTTTTTTATTTTTTATTTTTTATTTTTTATTTTTTATGATTTTACCATTTAACCTAACTACATTTTATTTATTAAATTTATAAATCTAATTTATTGTGTGGATCTAAAATAAGGAAGAATAACATTTGGCTTGATTAATTGTGGTTGAGTAATTTGAATAATGATAATTGTATATTCTAATTGTTGTGTTTATTTTTATAGCTATAGTGTTGTATACAATTATGACAATTATATATTTTAATTAATTGATTAGCAAAATATCATTCGGGTCGAGTAAATTGTGGTTGAGTAATTTGAACAGTGATAATAGTATTTTATAATGTTATGCCTATTTTCATAATTAATAGCGTTGTATAAAATTATTACAATTATATATTTTAATTAATTGATTAGCATAATATTATTTGATAATAATAATTAATTATAATAAGTCGTGGAGGCAAGGCACACAGGGATAGG